AAAATAGCATCATATGACCCCTTTAAGATTTTAGAATTTGTTAGGGTTAAAAGAATTGTTGCACAACATATCATGCCAGAAACATATTAACCACTGCGATAATGATCCAATCTTAAACTCTTTTTGGCAAGGCTGTTTATATACACTCACCCGCCTTATTCATACACCACTTAATTTGCATGGGCCCACCAAAAATTGGGGAATAGAAGATTGGAAAAAGGTTTCCTGGTCTGATGAGTCTCAATTTCTGCTGTACCATTCAGAGAGTAGGGTCAAAATTATTATATCATCTGCTTCACAATGTTATGACACTGGCTAGAGTGAGACAGCAAAATAACCTGGAAAAGACAACAAAACTCTTTCTACACTTTCATTTACTGAGGAATGAGCAAAGACCAATATAACAAACAAATCCCGCAAGAAGAAGCTAAATTCTCTTTAAAAATAAAATAAGATACAATTAATCACACAGCCTCGTCTTAAAATAATAATAAATTGAAAAAAGCAGCAAGAGAAAACATCCACCACCACAGTTTCCAATGTGAATAAGATGTTTATAATCATTTAAGATATCTACAGAGAAAAGAAGCTGACAGTAAACTATCAACATTAAAACAAACAAAGCAAAGTACAGGCAGGAAAACAATCAAACTACAACATAAAATAACAAACTAAACAAACAACTAAACGAAACTAATGCTTCTATTAATGCTAATGTTTCTATTTGCAGTTTTGAGCAATTTAGCCAATTGATGAACATATCTGTTGATTACATGAACTTCTTGATTTAAAGAAAAAAGGTTCTCTCTAACTGTTCAGAATTAACCTGACACAACAGATGTCCACTAGGTTCATCAAAGCAGCCACAGAAGATGGAGGAGTTCTGCTCTGTGTTGTGTTCTGTGAAAAATGATCGAAATTTTTAATGATTAAAAAATACTTTAAAATGTAATGCATACAGACAATGGCTTGAATGAACTTTTACTATGAAGATTATTTTATTTACTTCAAGCACCTGCAAAAATTGTCAAAATGATTTGTCATTTAGTAATTAAAAACAGTAATTAGTAATTGGATTTGTGTAACCGTCCTGAAATTGAGTAATAAAAAAATATGGCTGACAGAGTAAAATTGAGAAAAACCTAAGTGTTTTCGCATTATGTAAGCAAAACTATGTAATATTTCTTTGAAAAAGTGTTTGGTTTTCTCAAAGCACACACCCTGTAAGAAAGTGCATCAAAGTTTCTTTAAAATATCTGATAATTTGACAAATCAAGATTAGTCGAGGTTGTAAAATGTCAAAAAGAAACGCTATAATATTTGTTCATGATACAAAACCCAGAGTCCTCTGGACTGACCTCCACTGGTTGAGCTGAGAGCAATGTTCTCTGGATCCCCTGCACCATCACCAGCATAAGCAGTATTTTGCTTCTTCTGTAGGGAGAAGAGAACGTTGAGATTTAAATCACAATCAACAACCACTGCACATAAATGTTCTTAATATCAAAATAACATTTAAACAAACAAAAAAAACAGAATACATACATATATGTCAATGATTGAAACATTAATGATCTACTATGACTTTAAATGATGTCCTTTCTGAGCAAAATATCTCAAGGAAGCTTATAAATCTCACAAATACTTGTACAAATTCCCCCAAAACAAAACACTGCATTGTAAAATACATAGCCTTAACTGACAACTGCTGTCAATAAAAGTTACAATATAAATACAGAACAGAAGTGTTGCCTAATTTATTTAATTTGCCTAATAATACTTGCCTTTTCCCATATGCAGTAGATAATCAGTAGAAGAATGAAATAAATGACAGAAACTATCGCTGCACAGACCCCTGCATTTATGTTTATTTGATTTAGGCTGATTGTCCAGGGTGTCTCTATACGAATGTCTTCAGCAGTCTCCAGTGACCCTACAGGAAAGAGCAGATATGGCAAATGAATGGATGGAGATTCTGGGCTAATGCAACTTATATAGTTTTTAAAAAAAAAATCTTATTAAACATGTCATCTTTAATGTTAAATTTTTTAATTCAGTTATTTTAGAATAATGTGACACTATAGGCTGTTACCAAATAAATCAGTATCAACCAAAGCCATCTTTGCACAAGTGTATTTATGGGTTAATGTTGCCCAGAAGTCAGTAAAAGCATTTACACACCACAATAAGCATAATGTAATGTGATTAATCTTTTAAACATAACATTTTGAATACAGAAATATAAAATGAATGACAAAATGAAACGATACTTGGAATATAAAAGGATTATCACCAGTAGGTGGCGGCAAGTCATTGTGTTTATGAACGAGTCATCCATTCAACTGATTCGTTTAAAACGCTGATTCATTCTGGAATAAGAATCAAGTAGCTTTCTATACTATTGGGTCATTATAAATCACTCACTGACCGATGGGAGTCAGTCGCAAAGCGGTTCTGTGTCTTTACTTGAGATGTTTATTTGGCAGAAAAATAAAAAACCATTTTGTGAGACATCAATTAATACTAAATATTAATTAAATAAACTCAGCATACTGTTTTAAAACAAAAGCTATGACTGTTGCTTATTTACACCTAAATTAGGGTGACTATACATGCCATTTTTCCCGTACACGTCCTTGCATTTGTTTTGGCTTTGTTTTCCCGTTTTCATGCTTGCTGAAGGTAATGATCGAAAAGTAGTTTGACCAATAACATGCAGGCATTGTACATAATGGACCAATCATGGTGTGTGTGAGAAGGTGGGATCTACGGTCAAAGCGATGCAATTACGTGTACATGCCTGAAATAAGATCTGTGGTAAACTCTAGCTCAAGATATTCCCACATTTTATTCTATAATGTACAATACATCAGTAAAAACACCTTGTGAGAAGGTTAGTGGTGGCTAACATGTGTCTAAATGGCCGGGGCAATTCTAGGATTTTTTTAATGGTGTGGCACAGGGGGGGACCAAGAACCAGTCAGGGGGGGCCCATGGGAAAAGTCATGTGCCCCAACACAAGTGGGATGACATAAAAATGGTGCGCGTGTGTGTCTGTCTGTCTAGTGAATTTTTGCAAAACCTGTACATATTCTGTCTTTCACCTGTTGCTGCAGATAGATGGCTGCTGGTGTAGTCCTCACTGGCCGGCTCTGACCTGTGCTGCCAGGTTCAAAGCTGCTAATTTGCTGACCAACTTGGCCCTGACTGGTGGATTGGCTCTGACATGCACTGCACTGTACTGCATCTACCTGCCTTTGACATGGTTTCTTCTTGAAGAAACCTTGAATGTATTGCTGCTGTTGTCCCCTTTTCATTTTTTTACACAAAATTCTGTCCAAACATTAAAAAAAACTAACTTAATCATCAATATTACACAAATAGTATATTTATTTAATAGCCATATTCTCATCTGATTAAAGACAAAATCATTTAAATGTGAAGCTGTTCTTGGACATTGCAAACGAAAATAAAAAATATAAGACTACCATGCAAAAACGTTTGTTTATTCAATACAAACAGGTGTTTACTGTTCTACATCTTAAAATTCCAAGTGTCAGAATGCTAACATTATTAAAACCCCATATTTTAGCTTTTACCACGTTACTGCAGACTATTTGGGAAAGTGTTTTTGCCTTTAATCTTTGAAACAACAGGAAGAAACGTAACATAACGATTTCTATTTTAAGCAGTGCTGGTGCATCGCGGCAACACAAATAAGCTTAAAGTCACTCGCCTCACATTCCCAGGTGTTTCGACGCGTAGGGTGACGCTTTTTCCACTTTTTACCTCCACTCTCTCTCTGTCACTCACAGCACCTGATAAAAAATTATATTTGTACTTTAAGAAACTGACTGACACATATTCACACTTTATTTAAGAACGACCAACAGAGATAACTTTGCTTTACTTACCGGCGATGGCAAGACAGGCTATGATGAGCAGGAAGAAGCGATGCATTTTAATAAGTTCTATTCGGCTTGTCCCTTGATTTAATAACAATAATAATAATAAAAAAGCTTCATTAGCGGCTACGTGATCTATCCGGCACTGAATTGGTAAAAGCATGTGTCAAAATAGACACGCACGCCAGGTATTTAAAGGGAGGCGTGGCCTGCAAGACCTCTACCAATCGCTAAGCTCGGTTACGCTGTTGTTGGGCGGAGTCTTTAGCGGAAGTGCAAGTACCAAAGCGACGCTTCAAGTCAACCTCACCTTTTGTGTTGTAATTTATTTGATAAACTTCGCTTTTTATTAAAAAACAATTTTTTTTTATAATAAATGTTTAATCACGGCTGTGATCTGGTCCCAGCCATGACGGACAAACGAGGAGGTCAAGGCAGATCCCAAGTAGGCTACTCTACAGGCCTAACTTTATATTTTTTCTCTCTTCGTACGGGTTTGGACCGAAATTGCACTGCGGTTATATATCCGTTCTGTCGTAATTAAAACGCCTATCCTCGATATGTTTTGTTGTCTTAACGTTTTTATTGACCGCTTACTAAAAACGAGCGGTGGTTTAAAGAACACTGCCCCGACAGACGCACACAATCAGCAGATTACAGAACCTCACTTCACATTACACGACAAACGCCGAATCAACCTGTGTGTACAGGACCAAACAGAAGCGCCGATGAACGCCAGCAGACAAAACTCCACGAACTGTCTGTCTGCGTCTATCGGCCTCAACATTCTGTTATTATTGTGTTTACTGTGTACTGTATGCAATTTAAGTCTTTTAATGAATATTCTGTATTCAGTATGTGCTTTAATGTGGTGGTGGATGTCAACTGCACTAGAGGCACATATCTTAACACACAAGTTAACATGTTCCCCCAGGGTTCCTTTAGCTCTGCTGTACTTTACCAAACACATTCCTCTCTGCCAAACAGATCTGACTCCTCAGTACACTGCTTTTCCCCCCACTCGCATGAATGGACAACTTGCCTATTGACTGTTCATTTCAATAAAGAATCTGCAAACAAAATATTACCAAGAGAATGAGTTTATTCTTTATGCTTCAAAAGATGAATAGCAATCCATGTTGTGCTAAACAGCTCACTGGTACCTGAGCCATTAAACTAAACTGGGTCCAGAAAGTAAAGAAAATTGCCAAATGTCTTCAAAATCTGAAAGACAAAATGGCCACAGAGCACAAGATGGCTTTTCAGCTCAATAGTGTCACTGATTCTAAATCTGTAAACAACAATGACTTTCAAGAAACCTAGAAAAAGCTTCACTTCAGTATTCTCTGTTTGATGTTGTGTTTTGGTGGTGATCAACAGCATAAACATAAATATGTTCCACTCATTTGTGAATTAAGCAAATGTTTTGGACAGAGTTTGGCCACTTTATATTTCACACAATATCATTTACATGTCCCTCTGATAATACAGCAATCCATTCAAATCAAATCTCAAAGATTCACTTATATCAAAAAAACATTGTTGTTGAATGTGTTCGGTCATATTTAATGAGAGACACTGTAAACATACAGTGACCATAGAAGAGACTGCGATCACACTGTATTCTTCTCACAAATATCAGCAAATCTGTTGTATTTATCAGCAAAATAATCATTTGAAGAAAAACAGGTCAGGTTTGTAACCAAAATATATCACAGTCTGATGATGGGCATGAGTTTCTAATTAATTTCTCTTGATATTATAAACTCGGTCAATAGCAGTGAGGTGTTTAAAACTGAATCCTCATGTTTGGTTTCCTCCAAAAACCAAAATGAAGCAAAATTAAACTCTGAGCAATAAAACTAAAAACCTACAGGTATAAGAAAAAGCAAAAGGGAGTTGCTTTCCACAGCAAAGTCACATCAAAAGAAAATCTCCACACTGAGTCTGGTTTACTGACGGATCGACTCGCAGGCTTGATCTCCGTGAGGTTTAGCTGACATGAGAACTACTGAAAAACAAACGTGTGAAAGCTGATCTTCATCACTCGCTCCATTACTGATGTTACTGTCCGTGAGGAGGAGCCCAGTGTCTGTGAGTCTCAGAGATGTTCAGTCAGTGGAAAACAGATCTCCAGCAGACGGGAGAGGAGCCAGACCGCCGGTGACGCTCGGTAGAAGAGAAAGATCTGGAAGATTCTGGATGTGAGACTTCAGCTCCTTCCTCACTTGTGTGACGCGAGCCAGTTTCTGCTTGTATTCCTGCAAGAACACAAGATAATCAATGAATGAATCAGTCCAAAATTTTCAAAAGTTTGGGGTCATTCAGATGTTTTTAAATAAATTCATACTATTTTATTCAGTAAAGATGCATTAAATTGATCAAAAGTGACAGTAAACACATTTATAATGTTACAGAAGATTTCTATTTCAAACAAATTATGTTCTTTTGATTCATGCCGACTCTTTTCTCTTTCTATTTATTAAAGAATCATGAAAAATAAAATGCATCACAACTTCCAAATATTAGAATGATTTCTGAAGATCATGTGACACTGAAGACTGGAGTAATGATGCTAAAAATTCAGTTATGATCACAGGAATAAAATACACTTTAACATATACTAAAATAGAAATCAGTTATTTGAAATTGTAATAATATTTCACAATGTTACTGTTTTTACTGTATTTCTGATCAAATAATTGCAGCCTTGGTGAGCAGAAGAGACTTCTTTCAAAAACACTAAGTTTGATTTATCTCTTCCATGAAACACAAAAGGAAACATTTCACACAAGCTTGTTTTTAAGCTCGAAAATGAAGCAAAGGTACCATAAAAGTATGAAAATTATCCCAAAAGTTGTCCATATGACTTGGTGATATATTCAATGTCTTGTGAAACCAAGACAGCTTTGTGTGAGGAATTTAAACCTGAATGAACCCAACTCAAGTTGAAACAAAATTACGATTTATCAGTGAATAATGATTTAATTTTGGTCTTTTTGTCAGAAGATTTCCAAAAACGTTGAATGTAGCACGCAAGTAATATGGACTACTTTTATAATACTATTTTGTTGCTTGAAGGTAAAAATCACATCCACTTTTATTGTATTGAAACCATCAGCTCTGATATTCTGCAGAAATTCTCCCATGAAAGAGAGAAAATCAAACAGGTTTGGAAAGACACGAGGAGTAGATGATGATGGCAGGATGGTAAGCTTGTCTTTTAACACATTTAGGAGTCTCGTACCTCCAGCTTCTTCTCCCTCTCGTTGAGCGCATCTCTCTGGCTCTGGATGTATTCTGTCAGCATTCGGGCCAGCTGTCTCCGGTCCTCTAACTCAGCGGCCAGGCGTCCGTTATACTCCGCCAGCAGCAGACAGGCCTCGTCCACCGTCTTTGACAGCTTATCTGCCGCCTGTTTATCTGCAGAGAATACAGAGTTTCATCAGAAAACCACTTCCTGTTAGACAGAGGTACGTTTCTCCTGTGAGACTCACCCGAGATCTTCTCCAGAAGAGAAACGTCCTGCACTTCCTGTGGAAGTGATGCGATCTTCTGTCTCACAGCAGCGTCACCGGACGCAGCGTTCTCGAGATCCTGCAGCGCTTTCACCAGCTCCTCCGTCTGTGGATCATGCCAGTCACACACAATCTTTCTTATAAATCAGATTAGTTTATAAAATCTGACTAGATGAACCACATTCAAAATGTTGGTAAAATGGCGCTATTCTATGGAACCTTAAAAAACAATAATAGAAACAATACCATAATTTTTTACCCTAACTGATCTGAAAATCAAGAGTTACAATCACATTTCTTTGAGTAAATGGCCAAACTAAGGGGCTTATGGGAAAAAGTGCACCCTAATATCTAATATAATGTATATATATAAAAAGTATAAATACTGGTAGTTGCTTTGAAACGTCAAGCAGTTTTAGCAGCGTCTTGCAATGTGATGTCAAATCAACTGCCCGTGCTTTTTATATAAACATTAAATTACAAACATTAAAATTATATTAATTATTAATGTTAATATATTTTCCCCAGGAGTCCCTTAAATGCCATTTATTATTCAAAGAAGTGTGGTTCCTACCTTTGATTGTTGATAGTGATTGTTATTATAGAATTTTTATTCAATATCGAGCTTTTAGATTTAAAATTATGTATTTATATTTGTATATTGTTATTTTTAGACATTTTTGCCTTTACTAGTACATTTTAAATGGTCCTGCAAAGTGAACAATAAAATAAAATAAATAAAAATACAAAATTCCATGTATAGTATAATAATAATAAAATAATTAAAATATAGTGGTTCCTACCTTTGATTGTTGATAGTGATTGTTATTATAGAATTTTTATTCAATATCGAGCTTTTAGATTTAAAATTATGTATTTATATTTGTATATTGTTATTTTTAGACATTTTTGCCTTTACTAGTACATTTTAAATGGTCCTGCAAAGTGAACAATAAAATAAAATAAATAAAAATACAAAATTCCATGTATAGTATAATAATAATAATTAAAATAAAAATTTTTTAAAAATTTTATTTAAAAAAAAACAATTTTAATTCTGTTATTACAGACATTACTTAGACAGACCTTTTGTATTTTTATTTAATATTTCAATTTATTTTTAACACTGCATTCAAAATGGACTAATAAAATCAATCATCAATATCAAGAATCAGGGTTTAGAATCACATTTCTTTTGAGTAAATGTCATTCGTACCAGATGTGGAGCAGCTGCGTCCGTCTCCTGGGGAGAATAGTGACCTCTGTAATCATCATCTTCCTCCTCTTCTTCCTCCTGGACCTTCTGGTAGCTTCTCTTCAATTTTTTTCTATCATCTGCTACAAAATAACCTGCAACTTTTACTTCACTTTACTTTCAAAAAGAGACGATTCTGTTCATGCATTCTACAGGACAGTAAACGAACATGCATTTTGGTGAAAACAATGCCTGATGAAGGTTGCATGACCAAAATGTTGTATTAAAATACGATTTGCAAGCTATAGCAGTGATGAAAACTGAAATAACACTAATTGAAGCATGAATGATGAAAACATATGACATAAATGAGATCTCTCTTATATCTGAGCTTCTTCTTTATCTAGATTGCAGCTCTGGTCACTCTGGACATTCATCTACCAACTTCATCAGGTGCATCTTGGGATGTTTTAAAAAATGTTTACACCGTGTGCATGTATCGCGCTGACCTGCGGGCTTCTGTTTGGGACTGTCTGAGTCCTCGATAGCCAGTTTGAGCTGCTGGATGAAGTCTGCACGGTAGAGGTTCCGCTCCTGCCAGATGTTCAGCAACCTCTCCATATGCCTCTTAGAACCATCCTCTCCGTCTCTGCCAGAGAAAGACACAGAATACATGTGAGACAGGACAGATTCATGCTATTGAACACATAAGCATATGTGAAGGTGCGTTTACCTGGCCACATGTGAGCAGGCATCAACCAGGACGCCCTCAAAGTCTTTGGCGAACTCGGGACCCTTTTTCTTACTGTTCTGAATCACGTCATTAGCCAGATACAGGAACGTCAACTTCCTGCTGCTTTTAGCTGAACAACAAACATTTCATTATTACTAACTTTAGAACAAAAACTTTTTGTGTGTTTCAGTTTTAATGTTTCAGCCTTTTAGCCATTTTTGAAGGTTAACCTTGTTTACACAACCAGCATGCCTTGTGCAAACTACACTAAACAAGTAAAGTTTGGTCCTAAATTCCTTGATTCCCATTTGTTCCATTTAAAGCAACAGTTCAGCCAAAAAATAACATTTATTGTTCTCACCCTCAGGTCATCCAAGACGTAGATGAGTTTGTCTCTTCATCAGATTTGGAGAAATGTAGCATTGCATCACTTGCTCAGCAATGGATGCTCTGCAGTGAATGGGTGCCGTCAGAATGAGAGTCCAAACAGCTGATAAAAACATCACAATAATCCACACCCCTCGAGTTCATCAGTTAATGTCTTGTGAAGAGAAAAGCTGTGTGTTTGTAAGAAACAAATCCATCACTAAAGTGTTTTAACTTCAAACTGTTGCTTCTGGCCAAAATTCAAGTCCATAATCCATAATAACGCTTCCTCCAGTGAAAAAGTCCATCTCCTGTTGTCTCTCACATCAAAATCCAGCCACATTTTTGTTTAGAGCGGTTTTGGCTTGTAAACAGTTTTTAATCTGTGCAGATTTCTCTCCTGATTGAGACCAGATAGCTTTTTCACTGGAGGAAGTGTTTTTATGGAGTATGGACACACATTTTAGCTGGAAGCAACGGTTCAACAAATTTTAAAAACATCTTAATGATGGATTTGTTTCTTACAAACACACAGCTTTTGGCTTCTCAAGATGTTCATTGATGACTAGGGTGGTGTGGATTACTTGTGGATTATTGTGATGTTTTTATCAGCTGTTTGGACTCTTGTTCTGACGGCACCCATTCACTGCAGAGGATCCATTGCTGAGGAAGTGATGCAATGCTACATTTCTCCAAATCTGATGAAGAAACAAACTCATCTACATCTTGGATGGCCTGAGGGTGAGTACATTTTCACTATTCCTTCAACTACCACTGTAAACCCAAAGCTGCAGCTGTTATCACCAGTGTCAACAGCGGTAAAACTCTCTTACCTTTCTTCATTTCTCTGTGCCACACACGCACGATGAAGGATGCATGTTTGCGGTGATGAATGATCCACAGAGACAGAGTCTGAACGCTCTGCTGCGAGTTACTCAGTTCAGACAGCTTCTTCTCCAGCGCAGACTCGGAGAAAGACGACATGCTGACCACTCTCTCTCACCAAACCACCCTGAGAAGAAACACCAGGTTATAAACAGGTCTGAGTTGCATTTCACTTAAGAAATGTAAAGCTGCTTTCGAACTAAGGGACTCAGAGGAAAAAACGGACCCTTATATTTACATTTATATAATATATAAAGTATAAACATATGGGTAGTTGACTTTTGACTGTTTGACGTGTTATTCTGCATTTAAAACTACTTTCTAAACAATATTTTTTACTATAATTCTTATTATAGCATAGCTCCGACATGGAATATTCGTTTATACGGAATAGTTTTATTTTATTTTTCCCAATCCAAGGACATTTAAAAATAAACTACAAATAAAAAGGTTTTAAAATAGTGCTAAAATTATACACATTCTCTCATACGGCCATAAAATTTAATCCGGAAGCTTGATATTAAATAAAAATGCTACAATAATACATTTTATTTGTCAACTAACCACATACATACACATTATTAAACCACTTTCAAATGCATTTTGCTTGTTTTTAAATAATTGTTATGCATATTAGGATTCATGACCTCATTTTCTGTGGTCTACTTGTATTAAGAGAGACCACATGGAATATTTGTTCTTTAGAGACCAATATAGTAAAACAATGTACATATGAATAAAATTTGCACACACACACACACACATACATACATACATACATACATACATATATATATATATATACACATACACACACACACACACACACAAAGTATTTATAACGGTAGTTTGATTGCATATATATAGGCCATGTGATTAACAAAGTAGATATAATAGAAGAGTTTGAACTTAAACTCCATACAGAGTCTGAGTTATTGATTAGCTGAGAAGGTGATTATTTGTAATGCAAAATTTCTGGGACATGCAGCCAACATATTAAAGACAGTAAAAGCTAATTAAGCAGGTTAAAGAAACAAATCAAGCAAACAACTAAAAGATAAAAGGTAATGTAAATAAATTCTCACCTGTCAGCAGTTTTTGTAACGTTAGCCTAATCTGGATTTAAATTCAATATGGCACAACGCACGCGGGAAACACTAAATACGAACTACCGCGGATCAAAAGGGTGGTTTAAGTCGAGATATTAATAAATCGAATGAATAAGATATGATCCGTGAGTATATTCCTCGAAACTTTTGCCGAATGTTTGAACACGATGAGATTCCGTTCCAAGTTGGTTGATAAACAAACGAACGTCGCGTACGTGACGTCACACAGACGCGACATCATGCTGGATGTGTTTTTTGCAACACTGTAATGTCTCGTTTTGAATAATAATACCAGTCATTTTCAAGTCACGTGTGTTCTTTTGTCTAGGAAACCCAGCCTTTGTTTGCTAGCAGGCATAGATGATCTCTCTCTGGACTGAAATTCGTAATTTTATATTTAATGAAATAAAGCAGGAGTTTATTGACATGAATGTGAGCTTGAAACTGCTGCTGACACTGAACCACTCAAGAGTAAGTACTATGGGAAATTTTAAGGGGAGGGGCTGTAAGTAAATATTCAATATGCTCGTTCACTCTTCATATGTTAAAATAAAACATGACCATAGAAGAATAGACGAAAAACAAGTTTTTTTTTGTATTGTGACTTTACTACTTTTAAATTTGCTTGCTGGGCACCATCTTATTAATCATACACAGTAACAAGAGTGATATACACCTCATAGGACATCAAATGTTTTAGTGTGATAAGCAGTTCATAGTCATAGACTCTTTTGTCAATGTTTTTGCATGTTTGTTTTAAGATAACATGCTTTATGTATGCTAGTGAAAACAATTATCAGCAATATTATTTAAGAAGTTGGAAAATGAACTGCATCCATTGTGAAATCCATTGTGAAATGCATTTACTTGACTATATCAAAATGTCACTTCAAGGAATCAGTCATTGAATACTAACAAATGCTGATTAATACTTGTTTAGTTGCCAAAAGTTTCTCTTTGTCATACATTTTTATATTTGTATTTCTCATGTTTGTCTCTCTCATGATGACTTTTTTTTCCAGAATTTTATTAACATCCTTCACAGATCTTGTGCTCCATACATGAAGAATGGCTGAACATCAGATCGAAGACCCAAAGATTGCATTTGCATATCTCCGCCCATCCTGTGTCCTCCTGACCAAAGAACCTACGGTCGCTAACGTAGAAGCTCTTAGCGGTCATCTCCGCAGTGTGAGCGATGGAGCTCTCCAACAGCTCCAGGACTATGTTCTGTTTCCCCTCAGATTTGTCCTCAAAACCCCTGGCTCAAAGCGGGAGGGACTCATCCAGGCGGTGATGGAAGCCGTGACGTATGTGCTGGAGAGCACTTGCGTTCAGAGTTGGGATTCTCTACGGGATCTGTTCTCGGAGCTGTGCCTTTGTCTGTGTTCCCCAAAAGACCCGGGAAAACCCGCCACAACCTCTGAGGAACTAAAGCTGGCCGTCCTTGGATGCTTGGACACCCTTATGCACTCTGCCTACGGTGACATTGTTTTTAAACTCTACGAGCCAAGCATGTTGCCTGGACTTGGAGCCGCCGTTTCACTACTTCTGGCATTAGCAGAGCACGAAAAGGCTAGAGGAGTTCAAACGGCTTCCCTTAAATGTCTCCTTTCTTTGTTTCAGCAGTGCGACTGCGAAGAGGAACACATTGAGCCAGGACGGGACGAGAGGTATCTGCTCGGACGCACCTTGGCCACTTTTTTACCTGGGATTTCTCGAGCCCTGAGTCTCGTAATAAGTGGAGATGTAAGACAAGGCCATACAGTTACAATGAAGGCCATGAGGGTTTGGTACAAAGCAGTAGGTCTGGTAATGGCCGATGAGCAGCTTCAGAAAACAGACAATGATGTGGCAGCTGGAGATCTAGGAAGGGTTGGGGAGCTTGTTGTAAAGAGGACTCCATCCTGGCGCAGAACCACATCCCAGCGCCTTGCTTTGGTCTTACAGAAGATAATTTCTTGCACATCTGCCCACCCGCACTGGAGAGTCAGACTTGAGTTGGTCAATCTATCCCATTTTCTTCTTTCTCAGTGTAGCCAGTCTGTGGGTGAATGTGTCGGTCTTCTTCTGGAAGCATTGGTAGGTGCTGTCAACGATGAGGAGCCTGAGGTTAAGCACAGGTGCAATGCAGCATTAGATGAGGTGGCACAAATGGGTCAAACCAATGGCAGACAGGACTTTACTGATATTCTATCTGAAAACCTCCACAGCTTGGCATCATCCTTACCTAGACTCATGAGAACATCTGACGACCAACGCAAGCTCTTTGTTCTTAATGTGTTTCTTGGGTACCTCAAGATTCTGGGGCCTAAAGTGGATGCGGTACTTTCTTCAGCAGTACATCTGGAGCGCATCTCCAAAGCATTGATGCAAGTGATGGAGCTGGACGTAATGGATGTGAAGATCATCGAGGAGAGAACTCTGACGTCTTCGACAGACTTGAGACCTGACCTGCACCAAATCCCATCCCAGAGGAAGTACTTCCTCTACTTCACAGACGACAAGATATTCTCAGCACTCAGGAAGATCTGCCGCATGTTGGGATACTACGGAAACCTCTACCTTCTTGTTGACCGCTTCATGGAATTGTACAGGGAGTCTTCGGTTTACAGAAAGCAAGCTGCTTTGGTCCTCAACGAGGTCATTGTCGGTGCTGCAGGCATTGGCGTAGAAACGGACACTTCTAGGATTGATTGTTCAGGAACAAACCAGTCTAGAACAAATCAAGAAGACTTGAAATCTTCAGTCATGTCCATCATCGAGGAGTACATCAGTTTGAGTAACTGGCATCTCCCTACGGTCTCAGAAGCCTTGGAAGGGAAACTTGAGTCTACAACCTCCTTGGTGTCCAATAGTCCAGAACGAAACTGTTTGCAGTTGCTTCCAGCATCCAAAACTCCAACGCTTCACCAACTCAACGGCAACATCTGGCAAATCTGTATCCAGTTGGAGGGCATCGGTGGCTTTGCACTGGCATTAGGCACCGATTTCCGTCTGCTTCTGATGACGACACTATACCCTGTGCTGGAGAAGGCCGGGGACGAGTCGCTTCTTGTCAGCCAAGCGGCTTTTAGCACCATGTGTGACCTCTGCAAGGCTTGCGATTACAGTTCACCCAAGGAGCTTGTCATCAAGAACTCAGACTACCTTCTCAATGACATTTCTCTAAACCTAGCTAGACCCAGCATTCACCCTCATGCTCCGCGAGTTCTTGCGGTCATGTTCACTCACTCAGATGCCAGTCTGCTGCCTCTAGTGGCCGATGTGGTGCAGAACGTGTTAACGGCACTTGATCTCAGCTATGACCAGAGAGCGCCACAGTTCTGTAGTGTGCTACACTCACTCATGAAAGCACTCGGTGAGTCTTAATTTTCCTTAGTTTACTTAAAGGGATAGTTCACCCAAAAATTAAAATTCTGTCATTAATTACTCGCCCTCATGTCGTTCCAAACCCGTAAGACCTTCGTTCATCTTCGGAACACAAATTAAGATATTTTTGATGAAATCCAAGAGCTTTCTGACCCTCATTAGACAGCTGAAAATGTTCCCAGACATCGGTAAACTACTAGTCCATGTGACATCAGTGGTCCAACTGTAATTTTATGAAGCTACGAGAATGCTTTTTGTGTGCAAAGCAAACAAAAATAACGACTTTTTTCAACCATTCTTCTCCGCTGTGCAACATCTGCCGCCATTATCGAGAGTATTGATACGTCTTGATATTGATGTGTCTTGGTACTCATGAAAGCAATGTCCTTACTGCATTTCTGGGCCTGGGAACATTTCAGTAACATTGCTGTCTAATGAGGGTCAGAAAGCGCTCAGATTTCATCAAAAATATCTTAATTTGTGTTCCGAAGATGAACGAAGGTCTTACGGGTTTGGAACGACATGAGGGTGAGTAATTAATGACAGAATTTTCATTTTTGGGTGAACTATCCCTTTAACTATTATTTTGAGCAATGTTACTATAAAGTATTAGATTCTAAATGTGTTAAGTTTGAAAAATTGATACGTTTTACCACAGTGAGATGGTTTCCCGCTACTATGGGACACCAGAAGACACCCAGCAAAGAGACCCAGAATAAAGAGTGTGTGAACTTGAGGCAGTTTCTCCTGGACTATAAGAAGCAGAAGGAGCTTGCAGAAGGCATTGGAGTAGAGGAGGAAGATCCTAATGATTTAGGTTTGTAATTTACATTCATGTTTGGTTAAATGCCTATTTCTTTAGTATTAAGCCAGGAGGGGAAAAAAAGTACTTAAAGTGCTCTATTTTCACGCACTAATTTTGTACTTAATATAGGCTTACTAAAAATGATTCTTTAGTACTTCTAGATAATCTTACAAACATATAAGTGTACTCAAATGTGCTATTTTGGAACACCATGAATATCAACTAAAATGTTCTTTTATTATATATTCTTTGTATTAAAAATGTATTTAGATACCTTTTGTAGTAACCCACTGGTGTATGTAAGATGGGTTCAAGTGTACTACAAGTGGTAACTAAGTCCTCCACATGCTGAGGCTTTCAACTCAGGGCTCAGATTTCTGATCATTAAACCAACACCACACAGAGCCGAATTCCCAGAGCGATCCGTTATTATGGCGTTCCTACTATCACGCTGAAGGTTTGTAGCTGATTTACAAGACGCATTCAGAGCCAGACTTTTGAGCATGCAGTCGAATGCACAGGAATGACAAACCAATTAGGTTTTTAAATTCCCCTGTCCACAGAAGTTCCTCCACCAACTTCTGATGAGGACACAGATGGTCCTGCAGAGAAAAAGGAGCTTTCTCTTCATATCCAGATTGCGAAAGACTTGATAGAGCGATGCATCCACCTGCTCTCTGACTCCAACCTGAGAATCCGACTCAAGGTTGTAAAATCTCTTCTAGTGACGTATAATAGCTTTGGCATCGCTGCAGGTGTGCTTCCTTTGAACAGAGAGGGTCTAAAGTCAAAGGTGCATGTGCATTTACAGGTGTTGGACATCTTGGAGTTGTGTGTGTGCGTTTTATGTGAGCGAGAGGACGAGCTGCTTCCCATGGTGCACCGGTGCTGGCCTGCTCTCCTCCACCGTCTCACCAACGATGACCCTCTCGCTGTACCTCGAGCATTCAAGGTGAGATCATGTCCTAGCAACCATCCACAACACCCTAGCAACCAGATGCAAAACCAACACGCAAAAAAAAAAAAAACTCTTTTGCAACTATGA